AAAAAAATATATTTTATTGATTTTTTACAGAGAGGAAAGGAGAGAGATAGAGATAGAGAGTTAGAAACATCAATGAGAGAGAAACATCGATCAGCTGCCTCCTGCACATCCCCCACTGGGGAAGTGCGCGCAACCCAGGTACATGCCCTTGACCGGAATCGAACCTGGGACCTTTCAGTCCACAGGCCAACGCTCTATCCACTGAGCCAAACCGGTTTCGGCGACTCTACCACTTTTACTAGTTTTCATTTGCCTTTCCATGATCTTAAGTTATGTGATTTTCTTATTTTATTTGATTTCTAATATGATCTTACATTTAGCTAAGTATATTTTCTTGCAAGTCCTGGCCTGACATGTTCTTTATCTGTCTTGATCTCTGATCAACTTTTCATATCAGCAACTTCACTTCTCACCTACTAGCCAACCATACTTCATCTCTTGTCTGCAAGATGGTTTAGAAAGAGTCATTCAATTCTTTTTTTAATATTCCGTGTGGTCTTGCTTTGGCCTCATTATGGGGCTGTCTGGTTTTCCTGAAATTGAGTTAAGTCATGTCCAGATCTTCTGTCTCATGCCTACTTGTCAGCTTGGGAATGCACAGAGGTTACTACAACTAAATCACCACTTCTCCTCATTACTTTTCCAAGGTTTTCTTTTGCTTGCATCTTTTAGATGCTCTGATTATTTTCTTCATAACTAAACTAGGTTTGTAGATGGAAGATTCCTTGAGTTCTTTTTAAATATGATCTCAACACCAGGTTCTTGGCAATCATTGCCTATTCTTGTTTTCAAAAAGCTTTCCAAATTGTGCATCGTGATTCTTTGCCTCTCCTTCTATTGCCTGTGGAGAACCATTAGAGATCAGGAAGTGACTAAGAGAGCCAATCTTTCTTCCTACCTGGTCCGAATCACTCTTTATATCATAAACAGAACTCTTTTGCTATCTGTTTTTCAAGCCTCTAAAACAGCAGTTATGCCACTATCTGAAGCCTCTCTGTGAACACTCTTCTTCATTCACTATAACAAACGATCCTGAGTTAGTGACCAGGAAAAGGCACTATGACATTTTGGCAATAATTAACCAAATATGCTTCAACTATATAATCTTTACCTTAGTTCCTAAGTCTTAAGAGATTAGATCTTGAGTCCATTCAACTCTGAGATTCTTCAGGGTAGGGAATTGTTACTATACAGATCACTAGTTCCTATCAAAGTGCCTGGCATAGAATAAGTACTGAAGGGGAGGAGAAGCAGGAGTAAGAGGGAAGAAAGGAAATAATCTGTCCAGTAATTTGCCCAGTGCAAGGTGAGATGGAGAGCCTGGCAATTAACTACAACCAAAGAGGTTTGGAAAGGAAAGATGGGAGGAAAAAACACAAGGACTATCTCATCACTGCTGCCTTGATATGGGGGAGAAAGTACCCAAACCATTCCTTTTAATGTGACTTGCTGAATTGCCTTTTAAAAATCCAGAGAGTAGACTTCGTCTCAAGAGATATTCCAAGTACTGTTAATTCCTTAAGAAAAAAGAAAAGTTCTTTCATTTCTGATTTTTTTAGACTACTCTTTTGTTACCTATCTCCCAGTAATTCTGACTCTTCACACATCTACTTAATGTTATTTCTATGTCTCCTACTCTTTTTTAATTAAAGCATACAATATTATATTATTTTCAGGTGTACAGCATAGTGATTCGATATCTATAGACCTTGCAAAGTGATCACCACAACAATTCTAATAACCTTCTATCACCATACAAAGTCATTATGATATTATTGATTGTATTCCCTATGCCTTACATTACATCCCCATTTATAACTGGATCGTGCCACCTAGTCTTGATAAGCCCATAATTAGTATTTGTACCCGTCTTCATAAAGGTACAAGCAGAGGACAAGCTTTCTAACTATGGCTTTGGTAGAAAGCTGCATGTGAACATCAACCAATTCACCTAAGGAACATAATACTCATGGTTTAAAAGCAAAAATCCTTCCTTCTCGGTTATATTAATACACTTTGCTTTAAATTTGGCTACATTGTTAGGTAATATTCTTTAAGAAAGAAGAGTTGTTTACTGTTCAGTTTGAAATGCTCTTCCCATTACTAAAAATGAATGAGGTCAGGTGAAGCTGGAGAAATGTGATATCCATATAAGATTGTGTGGATAAAATGAGATGACCTCAGGAATAAGTGCTCCTGAGTTTAAAATTGTGGCAGGTACAGTGGTGGGCATCTATCTTAACAAATGTAATGACTACAACCTTTGCATATAGTAAACACTGGATTTCATCAGATGGGGAAAGAAAGTAAATATGTGAGTAGATGGAGATAAAAAGATGGAGAGCTGGTACTGTACCAAGAGGAGAAAATTCTCCCTCAGATCATTGAGAAATCAAGAGAGGAAAATAAAGTATGTCACCACCATCTCTTCACTCCTCTTCACAACTCTCTATGGCAGGGATGGGGAATATCTGGCCCAAGGGCCTTATAAAGACTGAGAAATCATTTGGTCTAGTATTAAGACTGAGTTAATGACATGTTTGACCAATATAGCAGGCTAATTTTTAAGTTGATAATTTTATATGGCCCACGAATGATGTTATAAATATGCAAATGGCCCTTGGCAGGAAAAAGGTTCCCCACCCCTGCTCTATGGCAACTCTCTATTTATATAGCAACTCTTACCCCTCATCTTGCTTCATATGCTGTAGGTGTTAGTAATGACTCCACGAAAGAAAGACAATGGTCAAGAATATTCCTTGGGAACTGTTTTTAGTGCAATCACATGTGGTCTAAATAATTTCAGATGAATTAGTCATTCATGTTCTGAATCCCTGAGCATCCAAGCTAGCAATTCAGGGTATCCCATTATAAAATGGCATTAATTTTCAGAATAAAGATCCACCAGAGAATAACTGATAGTCCCTCTACTGTTGAAAAGAAGTCAGATAAATATGTTATATAGATGACAGTGGGGAATAATTATGTCCACATAGTGGTCATCTACCTATGTTATTTCCAAGATTTTAGATCTATACTAGAGTCACTGAGTAGGCAAGGGAACTTAATTATCGTATTATGTATTATACTCTCAGGAAACCAGTTTTGTCCACAAAATCTATACCCCAAGACCTCTGAGGATGGTATGTGCCAAGTGTCCCAGTCTTAGGGCAGCATCTGCTGGCTAACTCATGGATCAACAAAAAAGTGGCAGTTTGTGGGCACGCTGAGCAGTCCTTTCAGTTGAAGGGGACTGTTGCACTGGTTATTGTGAGGATGTCTGGCATCCTTCCATGATGACCTACCCTAAGTCTCCAGGAGCCTGGCAAGTCTAGAACTTTCCCTA